TGACAAACTTCATATAGTTCTTCTCTATGTCAAGTGGCTATGGAGAAATACTGATGCAGCAGAAATCCCATTTGGGGAACTAATAAAATTCAGGCGGGCGTGAAAGCTGTGAATCCCATCCTATTACATACATCTTAAAGCCTAGTTTCTTCCCATCATTTGAAAGAATATGGGGAGATCCTCACTCTCTCACACACCCAAGCTTTAATTTAATCTCTGGCAGGATTTTCTGAAAGGTCGGAAGGGTCTCAGGAGCTACGATAGGCATCCACTAAGCATGTGTCTCATGTCACCTTCCTCGGGTGTCTGATATGTTTGCTCATTGTGCCGAGTGCATTCGTTTCCCTGATGTGCTGACATAGATGGAGCAGGTCACAGCTAGGTTCCAAGGTATCTCTGCCTTTGGTTACATGTGTCAGGCTACAGAATGTAAATATGCAGCTAACCTGTCTCCAGGTGAAGAAGAGGAGACAAAGGAGTCATAAATACTACCAGAGCATAACTGAGAGCTTACCTGTGAGTACAGATTGTACATAGGAATCTGCTAGACACATGCATGAGAAGCAAAGGATTCTAATAGCCTTAAGCTAATAAAAAAACCAGAAATTTGGGTTCAGGCTGTCTCTGCTTCCTTAAGTCATTCCCCTTGTACCTAGATACTGCAAACAACTCAGAGTCCATACAAGATGTGACATATGCAATTCCTAGGTACTGGGGACTACAGTTTTTATTGAGGACTGCTACTACCTTGGCGTGAAAAAACAAGGCCAGGAAACTCAGGAACTGGGACATCATTTTATTCTCCAGACATATAACTTTCTACTTTTCCCATGGATGGCCACCCTCAAAAAAGAATCATTAATCCTGGATCCTTGACTAAAGCAACATTGCTGGGCACTGAGGTACAGTGCTACGTTATCATAAATCAATACATGCCATATAACTGGCTCATTCCTAAACAGCAAGTGGATTAATGATTTAGTTAATCTTAACTACATACTATTTTCAGTCCTCACTTGACTTAAAATTGCTCATATCACCTTAAACTTATGCAGTAATTTTCCATTACAAGGATAAAAGTGTGGTGTGAGAAGTGTCCCTAGGCAGCCAAGATTCCAGTTATCATTAGCAGTAATATTATTATAGTAGCACCCAAAATCTGACCCCTTTGTGCTAGGCATGATACAAATTTATGGGAAGATATAAACAGCGCCCCAAAGAGCTTACACTCCAAAATAAAAAAATATAAGGGCATAGGAAAGGGATACAACATACAAGCAATGTAATCGGGGTGCTGGCAGGTAGAGAGAGAAAACAACAAAACGTATTTGCCTATTTTTACAGGGGGATGAAGAGGCAGTGAAAGGGGAAGGTTATACTTGCCCCTGCTTATTCTAATATTGCTCCCTAGTTTTTTAACTATATCCACCAAGTACAAGTTTCCACATCACCTAAATTCTTCCTTCCTTAGCATAGTAAGCAACAGCCATACCCGTGATCACAGCAATTGCATCCATTTAACTATATTGGTTTAGAAACAAACAAATATCCTCAAATCAGCACAAAAACCATGTATAGACTAGCCCTCAAAAGTCAGGTCCTCAGCTGGTGTAAATTGGCACAGCTCCTCTGACGTCAATGGCACTGTACCAATTTACACCAGCTTAGAAACTGGCTTTGGATTTTTCACAAGCACAACAATACTTTGCACTTCTATGTCAAATGTAGAAGTGCAAAGTATTTCAAACGTCTCAAACATCGATTGACGATGCCTCACAAAGTCTCTGAGGTAGGTAACTACTTATATCCATTTTTGCATCTAGAGAAGATGAGGCATGCAGAAGTTCTGCTATTTGCACAAAGTCACACACAAGTAGATGGTAGAGCTGGGAGCAAAACGTAGGCAGCTTCCACCTTCCAGCCCTGTGGTTCAACAGAGATCACACACTCCTTCTATTTGCTTTGACATCTACATGCAAACTAATAACTTAAGATAAAATAGAGTTCTGAGGAACACAGAAGAGCATAACTATTTCTGCTAAGTAAGCTTAATTCAGACTCTGAGTAAAATATAGTCATGATAAGAAGAATGAGTTATTTAGTGGCTACTGATAGTCTCTCTTTTATTTTGAGAGGGTTCATGTCAGAAGGTTAAAGCTATTTTAACATCTTTAATCTTAAATATAACTCCATTAGCACTATTTTGATCTTTAAAACTGTCACCAGTCTCTATACTGATCTATTACCAACTTGCTCTCCCATATAATTTCATATGGAACCAGCACACAAGAGAGTTTATCTCCCACTGTAACAACAAGGATTCCATCCATTCTTCTGTTATACACACACTGTAAGATAAATACCATGATATATAGGTACTTACAGAGTATCCATCACTGTAGTATCTAAGCAGTAACGATACCTCATTTGAGATTCCATTCCATGCAAAACTAGGGCCAGGCCTTGACCTCTGTTGAACTAGTATAGCAAGATCATAGGAAGCCTCTTCCTCACTCATGCAGCAGCAGGACAGGTTTCCAGTGCAGTACTTAAAGAGCACTAAGGATGTGGATCTATAAAAGCCACCACATCATCAACTCAAAGGCCAATATATGCAAAGTCGAGAGTGTGACCAACCTTACCCTCACCTAGAATGCTACATGCCATCTGCAGCATTTACAAGCCAGAGGCACAAGCTGCTTCTTTTCAAACATACATATCCCACTTTGTGTGCCTCCACTAGATGGAATCCTGACATGGCTGTCAGGATCTGTGGGAAGTGGTCATGCTAACCAGCATCCTTGCTCCCTCTCAGCATTGGCTGGAGGCTGAGCAGAATTTGGGCGGTAAAATTCCTTAGCCTGTAACCTCCTTGGAGCAAGGGCTGTCCTTGAGTGTTTGGACAGTATCACCATTAACAACAATGCACTCTATTACTTTATATTATTTACATCCAAAATACTGAATTACACAAAGGAGGCTGTAGTAAAATACTTTGAATCTCACAGCATTTGAAGCTTCCTATCATTCTATTGTTCTTGTTCCCCCTTCATTTCAGAGGGCATTTCGGCTTTCACAGGTGGCAAGATACAATATGCACAGAGATTACATTCAGAAAATGAAAAGGAGTACTTGCAGCACCTTAGAGACTAACCAATTTGAGCATAAGCTTTTGTAAGCTACAGCTCACGCTCAAATAAACTGGTTAGTCTCTAAGGTGCCACAAGTACTCCTTTTCTTTTTGCAAATACAGACTAACACGGTTGCTACTCTGAAACCATTCAGAAAATGGGGAAGGAACAACAGAAAAAACCCTACCTTCGGGGCCACATTTTAGATCATAGTATTTAGAAATGGAAAGTGTCTATTAGATCAACAGCCAGGGCAGGATATAGTTCCAGTTTAAGAGGGTGCAGCGGATATCCCATAATGGTATGTAGCAAATATTTCACTGGTACTACATTTGATCTTAGCCAAACATATTCTAGGTGATGGTTTTATCTATAAAAACCAACAAGGAGTCCAGTGGCATCTTAAAGATTAACAGATTTATCTGGGCATAAGCTTTCATGGGTAAAAAACCACTTCTTCAGATGCATAGAGTGAAAATTACAGATGCAGGCATTATTATACTGACACATGAAGAGAAGGGAGTTACCTCACAAGTGGAGAACCAGTGTTGACGCCCTGTTCTCCACTTGTGAGGTAACTCCCTTCTCTTCATGTGTCAGTATAATAATGCCTGCATCTGTAATTTTCACTCTATGCATCTGAAGAAGTGGTTTTTTACCCATGAAAGCTTATGCCCAAATAAATCTGTTAGTCTTTAAGGTGCCACCGGACTCCTTGTTGGCTTTGTGAATAGAGATGCACCCTCCGATACTTGTTTTATCTATCTACAGCTACCCCGATACTTGTTTTATCTATAAATTTTTACTTGCTGCCACTGAACTGGGTCAGAGCAGTGGCTGGTTACAGTACTGCAGCATGCACTTTCAGTCTGGTTGCATTCATTGTCAGATAGAAAATACAACTCTTTTTATTGTCCCTGCAATTGAGATGTAACGTAAAAGCTTTCTGGCCATAAGGATTGTTTCTTCACGTGGAGCAGCATTATGGAGAGACTAAGATTTGTAGCTGCCCTACAGCGCCGCACTGCTCTTGTGGCCAATAAAGTTCCATGCCTAAGCACAAGATTGAATACAAGCGTGTCCTTTACCAAAGAGGTTTCACTCCCCTCCTAACCTGATACAATTAGGGCTGGAAAGATTTATGAAGGACATTCCCAACTGAGCCAGGCATTATAATCCCAAGAACCAATCTGGCAGTATTCGGTGTAATTCTCCAAGGAAAAGGTATTTGTTTGCATGAATTTAACGACATTTTAATGCAAACTCTGTAAGCAAGAAGAGATCCCTATCCAAACTCCATGCATCTGATGAAGTGGGTTTTAGCCCACAAAAGCTTATGCCCAAATAAATTTGTTAGTCTCTAAGGTACCACAAGGACTCCTCCTTGTTTTTGCTGATACAGACTAACACGGCTACCACTCTGAAACCTGGGTTCTCTCAGTGAGCTTCAAATGGAAAAATAATGCACAATATGCCGAGCTAAAATGAAAAAGGAGATCCTATTTTACATTGTGGAAAGAATATGGCAGAGACAATTTAACTGCTGTATATTACAATGGAAATTTAGCATCCAACATAATCAGGCAAGGAAACAAACAAACCCTAACTGATTTTGAAAGAGATTTTGAAGATGGCTTTGGATATCAAGCTGTGTCCGATTTTCCTATAACTGATGGAACACTATTAGCGCTCATTTTCTTCCTCGGAAACCCCTTTCTTGTTTCTTTCAATTTAAAAGCGCGTGGGGCAACGTCCAGAGTCCTCCCCCGCTGGCCCCGGCCGGACAACGCGCAGACCAGGAGCAAAGTAATTACAGAACAAGGGGCTATTCTGAGTCAATCCGGAGTCGATCTAATCAGTAACAATCACCTTCAACCGCGTCTCTCTCAATCATCACCGAACATATACGGACATCTCTGGTTTGTGCCACTATCCTTCACGTTCATGTCAACAGCTCCTTTGAAACAAACCCCGTGGCTTTTCCCTTAGACACAGCGTGGATCATTATGGCAAATTACTAGAGAAAACAGCTAATGGCAATCATCGCTGTCGCAGGCAGACTCAGCACAGGAAACCGAGCCGTGCCGAGGGTGACAAACACCCCTGGATTCAAACAAGCAGCGTCCTCTTCTTGCCCTAAGTCACACCCTCGGGGGGGACGCAGCGGGCGGCCGGCTGGACTTCGCGGGTCTTCTTGGCGATGACTTTAAATGAATGGCTCGTTCAGCCGGGGTCAGAGCGGATCCGGCAAAGCATAACCTTACACCCAGCTGCACCGCGCGGCCAGCGCCAACCCGAGGGGGAGTCCGGGGACATCCTGCAAACACAGGGCCGGGGACGGGGGTGCCATGGGAGAGGGAGGGGCGTTAACGCTATGGGGCCCGGGGCGTATCATCTCGGAACAGGGGCACAGGCTAAGGGATGGAGAAGTAGGGCTTCCTCCTCCGCACTGATACCTGGGAACTGGGGGGAGGGAATGAGGGCTCGATCGCTCCCTGCCCGCCCGGGAGGAGGGAGTATGGGGGTGTCCTCGCGGCTTTCCGCTGCCCGGGTGCATCGGGGGGGCGGGGGGGAGTAAGGGGCTCGAGGCTCTTCACTATCTAGGTGCATGGGAGGGGAGGGGCTCTCCCCTGCCCGGGTGCATGGGTGGGGGGGAATAAGGGGCTCGAGGCTCTTCACTATCTAGGTGCATGGGAGGGGAGGGGCTCTCCCCTGTCCGGGTGCATGGGTGGGGGGGAATAAGGGGCTCGAAGCTCTTCGCCACCTAGGTGCATGGGAGGGGAGGGGCTCTCCCCTGCCCGGGTGCATGGGTGGGGGGGAATAAGGGGCTCGAAGCTCTTCACCACCTAGGTGCATGGGAGGGGAGGGGCTCTCCCCTGCCCGGGTGCATGGGTGGGGGGGAATAAGGGGCTCGAGGCTCTTCACTACCTAGGTGCATGGGAGGGGAGGGGCTCTCCACTACCCGGGTGCATCGGAGGCGATGAGGGGCTCGGGGCTCTCGGGGCTCTCCGCTGCCCGGGTGCACTGGAGGGGGTGTGTGTGAGGGGCTCACTCTCTCTCTCTCTCACCTTCTTGCTCTCGGAGGCTGCGGAGCCTCTGGACTCCCCGCTCACAGAGGACGAGCGCCCCTGCCCGACGTGATCCTGTTGCGGGGACATCGCTTCCATCAAGCTCCTTTCCCCGAACTCCCGCTGCGGTCACTGGCTCATCCCTCCGGCAGCGGCTGCACCGTGGACAGTGAGGCTGCGAGCGAGCGCGCGGGACCAGAGCGCGTCGGACACTCGCTCCGCTGGCCCCGCCCCCGGCAGACCAGCACAGCGGCCCCGCCCACTCGGCCAGATGGCTCCGCCCGCACACCGCTCGGGAGCGCTTTCCCTGTCCTCCCACGCGGAGGGCCGCGGCGTGGCTGTGGCTACTGCGCATGCTCTGCGCGCCGCCGGCGCAGTTGCCGGCCGCCGGGGGGCGGTGGCGCTGCAGCGGCAGGTGTCCCCGCCGCGGGGCTCGCGCTGCCCGGGCGCGCCGTGCCCCGCGCGTTCCCGGGGGCCCGAGCCTGGGCAGGGCATGCGGCCCCTGCCTGCGTGAGCGGGCGCCACTCCGTGCGCAGGGGAGGCCGAATCTGACGCTGTCACGAATCGGAGCGAGGCCGTTAGTGCCTGTTAATTCGCAGCCTCCCCGCGGGCACACACGGCATCTGCAGTCCAGGGCCGTGCCACACTCGGTCGAGCAGCCGCTGCAAAAGGGGTTCAGATTTTACGCGGGCCCCATTGAGCTGTCACGTATTTTCGAAGGATTCTCCCCTCCTCCCCCCACCGGGTCGAATACCGAGATGTTGCGGTCTGGTTATAAATAGCCCAGGGATGTGCTCGAGCCACTGGACTGCACCACTTGCCCGGATGGAACACAGGCTGGTTTATAAAGCAAAGGCTGCTGCTTTTAAATACATCGCAGAGGCCACAATCTCCCCTTTCCGTCTAACCCCCCCCTCCCCCCACCGAGAGGACATAACCCGAACGATCTGCAGACTTGGGGGCCAGTTAGGAAAATCAGGGCCAGAATCCCTGGCTCGGGTGTCAGGTGCACGCTGCCTCTGTCTAGCCACACGCCAGTTGGTTCTGCTGCCTGCAATACTGGCTCACTCCCATCTGTAGCTCCCAGCGGCGCTCCTGTGTCCCCGTCCAACCTGGGCGATCACATTTCGTAAAAAGGGAAGCAGCATAAATTACAATTAGAGAAGGGAACATTGGACAGAGCATGTTTGTTCCCCAACGCTTCCTTCCAGGGGGAGGACAGGAACCTGTCCCTTGTGGAGCTTATGCAATATGCTGTTGACACAGAAGGGCTCTTGATGGCTAGGTAGTGGGGTGAAGTGGGCATACCCCATAGCCACTTTTCCATGGTCTGTATTCCCACATTCCAGCCCTATTTAGACGCAATTATCTGGTTTTTGCACTCCTTCACATACTACAGTGAAGAGAAGCCTAAGTTCTTTGGCAACCAGAAGTGGCTATTTAGTGGTGTTTTGTTTGTGTGAATGTGTAAAAATTAGTGTAAATGGGTAACACTACTTTGGAATCAGTTGCTTCCACCATGTTTTTAACTACTTCTGACATGTCAGCTACTGCATCTATTTCACTATATGCTACATGATTCAAAGTGCTCAAACCCCATACTGCTTTTTTTATAACTTACCCCCTCACTGGACACTAGCTGTACATTAACTTTGAACCTAGGAGAAGAGTTATATGTAAAATTATTTGAGCTAGGGGCTGTCATTTACTATGTTTGTACCACCGTGTGCACAAAGAAGCCTCAACCTGGTTAACGTCTCTAGGCACTACCGCACTCATCTCAAAGAATAGTAATAAATCATTTTGGCCTAGTTTTGACATGTGACAATTGACACATTGTTTGGGATCATTTGCTGTGGAATAATGTCTCTCATCCAATGGGACCCCTGCTATCTATCTATGGTATTTCTAGGACACCCAGTGCTGACATTGAAAAGGTCATGAAGCAGGGACCTGAGGAATTGAAGTGGAAGGGTAAGCGTACAGGTACTTTTCAGAGATTAATCTTGAGCCCTAGCTGAATGCTGGCACAAAAATGCACATAAAGAGTAGCCTCTGCCTTTTGTACACATTTGTAGCTGAAAACTCTTGCAACATCACAAGAATTTTACTCCAGAACTCAATGTGTCCATTACTACTATTCAGAAAGTCAGTTTCCCATTAATTTCAAATGGAGGATGAGTAGCTAAGGTTCCTAAACTGCTCTGAAAATCTAAACAACTACACTACTTCCTGGAGTAGCATAATTTATGTGTTGCCTGTGTGTGCTCAGGACTTCTCCCACCTGACTCCTCATTTCTGCAAGTCAGTGGAATCACACAAGTATAAAACTGGTGTAAGAGTGATTAATTTATTAATGGGCAGGATATGGTATAAATGCTTCTTCATCATTCTCACAGAGATGCTGTATTTGCATATTTTCTGCTATTAACCCTTTCTTCCTGCCCTAAGTCATCAACAAGTCTTTCAGGTCATGGACAACTGGACAGGGCTAACTTTGATGCCATCTAAACAATACTCATGAGGTGACTGGAGGGGTTGCTTTTGCATGATGTGATGCATACCTTCCCAGTCCCTGCAAGATCCATCACTGCCTCCACCAGCCCTGGAGAAAGAATTGTACATACGTTTACTGCAGAGTTTTGTATACATTAAAATCTCATGAGTTAAGATGTTTCCTATTCATTGAATTCTTATAGAGGAGCTGAAGTGATGCATTCTTGGTATCAGCACTAATTTGCAAACAGATGGCCATATTCAAAAACTCAAGCCAGTACACAATTTAAATTTTTTAAGTTTGATAAAAATAAAATCCTGCGTCACCAAAAATAAGCTGAGTATGAACCAACTATGTACCAAAACAGGTGGCAAGCTGTGACTGCTGCTTGCAATGCAAAAGTTGCTTATTTCACTGTTTCCTCACCCACCCCCTGCTCCCTCTCTGCTCACATCTGTTTATTTCATCTGCCTGTTGCATCTTTTCATACCCAAGACCCCAGTCCTGCAAAAACTTCCAGACAGTGGTGGATTAGCCACTGGGCCAATGGGGTCCGTGCCAAGGGCCACGGCCTGAAAAATGGGCACCCCCATACTCTGACCTCTCCGCCTGGTGCTCCTACCAGGGAGCGGGGTCTGGGTTCGGGGGCTTGCCCTGCTCCGCCTGCCTGGCTCTCTTGTGCCCCAACCCAGCTCCCTGGCAGGAGCGCTGGGCAGGCAGAGCAGAGCAAGCCTCCACACCCCAACCCCATTTCCCCAGCAGGAGCATGGGGAGAGGAGGGAGGACTGTAGGCAGAAGGAGTAGGGAGGGGCCCCCTCACTTGCTGTGGCCCAGGGCCCCACAAAAGCTTAATCTGCCTCTGCTTCCAGACATGTTTATCTTTAAGCACATGGGTTAAAAGTAAGCACATCTGTAAGTCTTTTAAGGCTTTGGGCCCAAGACTGTAAGCTCTTTGGAGCAAGAACCATCTCCTTAAGAGCTACAGTACCCAGTACAATTAAGGTTACCATACGTCCGTATTTTCCTGGACATGTCCAGCTTTTTAGTTCTTCAATCGCCATCCGGGAGGAATTTTTAAATATCTAAAAATGTCTGGGATTTTGCCATTATTATTTTTCCCCAAAGAAGAGTTGATCATTCAAGAAAGAGAGTGAATGTTGATAATTGGAGAAAGAAAGTGAATGTTGATCACTCAGAGAGTGCCCACATTTTCCCCCTAGCTCTCAGCGCCTGTGCTGCGAAACAGTTGTTTCGCACGGCTTGGAGGGAGGAGGAGGAGGGGGAATGCGGCACACTCAGGGGAGGAGGCGGGGCCGGGGTGGGGATTTGGGGAAGGGATCCAATGGGGCAGGGAGGGGGCGGAGACTTTGGGGAAGGGGTGGAATGGGGACGCGAGCAAATGTTCCCCTCCCACCCCGTGGAGTGTCCTCTTTTTTGAATGTTCAAATATGGTAACCCTAATACAATGAAATTCTGATCCTTGAGTGGGGTCTCCAGGCACAATTGTAATATAAATACTAAAAAGGAGGGAACAAAAATATTGGATTAGGGAGCTGTATAAAATGTCTGCTCAAAATCTAGAATATTTTTAGTAATTTTGGCAGGCTATTCCCAAGAAACGTTTGCAAATGATGATGTTCTTGGTGATGTTTTGGAAATTAGGCTTATTTATTTTGCAAAGGAAATGTTACCAAGCTTTCCTAAATGCCCACACATGCTTAGTTGTGTTCCTTTCTGTAGTACTGTAGCCACATTTCCTGCAATATTTACTGAATGTTTATTGACCTTTTCACATAGTAACTAAAATAAATAGATTAAAAAAACCTGCTGCATGATATGTCTGAAAATCAGAGAAGTGCTCCTCTGT